GTAAGTTTCCTAATTTGCAAAAATTATTCTGAGAGTGCAAAAGGAAAAACGTATGTAAAGTAAGTGATATTTAAAATCTATTCTCATTGTAAGTGTTCCTTTCTGGTACTACTTGTACAAGAACTAGCTCCTGTCTCCATAGTTAAAAAACTTAAACGCACTAAGGCAGCTGTCATTCCATTGCCAACGCTAATCTTCAAGAAGGAATTCAACAAAAAGCAACTTGGTGTTTCATACAGACAAAAGAAGTCAGTTTTTTGTATGGCTTTTTCCTTCAACTTGTCTGTATAAGAAAAGATCTCTGCCTTGCTCCTTCTGTTTATTGTTTAACATTATCTCTTGCTTTCAGTGCTGTAAATTTAAAACTAGACAATGACTTTATGATGGTGAGTTCATTATACTGCAGCTCTATTGTATATTGATTACATTTGTGCTTCATTTGCTTAACATGTAATAGGGTTTATTAGGTCTTTCCAAGTATTGTTCTTGGTAAAAGAAAACAAGGAGAAGCAAAACAGTTTGGGGCTAGATACTGAGCTAATGTAAATCAGTGTAGATTCAGTGAAGCCAGTAGGCCATTGTGGGTTTATACCAGCTGAGGATTCGTTCATGAGGAAAATGATGGCAATACAATGAATAAGGCCAATGGGACGGGTGTTGGGGTTGGGGGTGGGTGAGATGGATTTAGTAGAAAGGAAAGGACCAAAGTGTATGAAAAAAATGAATCTAATATCTTCCCTTAGCTTTCTTATCTTCAAGCCCAGTTTATATTGTAATTCCATTTTAGCACCTAACTCGATGATTGTCCTTATTAACATTCAATAGATCACTAGCCAACAAAGGCACAATTCAGTGAATATCAGTACATTGTCATCAAAAAATAAAAAAGCTAGGACAGACAATGCAAGGGTTATTATTTAAATAAAGTGTTGTTCAAGGTTAGAACATTATTCACGTTCCTTTGAGTAAACCTTAGTTGACGCTGGAATTTTTTTTTGAGATACAGTAAAGGGGCTATTCAGTGTACAATATCAGAACTAAGCATCTTGACCACTACTAGGCTATTGAAAATAATGGAACTACTCATAGAATAAGACACTACTTGGTATATTTGAATGCTCCAAAGATTCCAAGAAAAATAGGAAAATTCCTGTTAAATATTGTCATGAGTGTCTCTACAAATAAATTGTATCTCTGACAGATAGCTGAGTACATCAAGACAGCAGTACTGTTTAAAGCTGAAGGGAGAAATAGTCACTAATCATGTTTTAAAATATCTTTATAAATCCTGCATTTTTCTCAGGGCAGAATTGCTAACAGATGTTGTGTGGGTTATTTTAAAGATAATAAGAATATCATATAGGTCAGTACCATGCTTCTAATCTGGATGCCTTATTATATAAGATTATCATTTTTGTCTTTATTTTAAGCCCTTTATCCAGTGGAAAAGCCAGGCTCTTAAACCAAAGGCTTCCTAGAAAGAATTGTCAGTACCACTAACTGATTAATACAGTGGGCGAGGGAATTTGAAAATGATCCTTTATTTAATATACTATCTTCATGGGTCCTGTCTCCTTTATATGCTGCGGCATGTAAATCCTAATATTTCTAGTGAAGAATGTAGTGACTTGTTCCTTATGCTTTTGTAGACATTCATGTTCCCTTGAGAAGTTTATAAAGACTTGCTTTAGCAATGTAGACTACAAATAACCCTAACCATTTTTAGGATAGTCAAAATGTACTTCTAATATCTCTTTAAGAAGGATGACAGTCCTACTGTATAGTGCCACTTAATGTCATTCTGAGGTGCCATTAGTAAGTAACCTTCACATTTTCTTTGTGAAGACTTGAATCTATGACACTAAGTTGTGGATGGGGTTTTAGCTACACAGCTCCTATTAACTTCAATGAGAGTCACATGACTAAAAGCTTGTCCATTGCTTTGAAAATGTAGGGGTCAGTGTTAGAAACACAAAGAAGTAAAGATTAGAACCAACAGGATCCAGAATGTAAAATAAGAGATTGTTCAGAATGATATCCTGCTGCTGCTTCTGCCTTGAGTAGAAGTTTCTCTGTTGAGATTTGAGGAATCAGGTCTTTAGGGAGATACAGAAACAAGTCATGCTTGTTAAAGCAATCAGTCTAGGCGCTGCTGCTGAATAATGAAATGATGGGACACTAATGACTTTCCAAATTTGAGGAAAAAATAAAAGGATAGAGGACAGAAGGTTAAAAAAAGATAATAGTTAAATGAGTGATATTTAAAATCCTTCCCCATTCTGAGCATCCCTTTGCAGTGCTCCTTGTACAAGGACTAACTACAGTCTCAATGCTTAAAAAAGGATAAAATACACCAAGAGAGCTGTCATTTCATTTCCTACTCTAATCACCCAGAAGAAATTCAGCAAAAAAAGTTTTAGGTGTTTCATAAGAGATCTATGGGGAGGGATAGTTGTATGTAGGTTGTAGGTTTTTGGGGGGGGTTGTATGTTCTTATGTACCTACTTGTCTACATAGTCAGGAATCTCTGCCTTTCTTTTTCCGTGTATTGTGTACTGTTATCTCTTGTTTTCAGTGCTGTAAATTAAAATTATCATGGTCAAAAGAAACATGCCAACTGTCAGTTTAAATCCCTTAGAGTGAAAGCCTTACTTTCTCTCCAGCTGGGTAAAAATGATGGAAAAATGTTAAGGGACTGTGAAACCCTAGATAAAGTGAGTGATGATGGTGTGGATACTATGGAAGACAGGCAAAGCATTTCAGGGGCAAGGATACATCACATAAGATGGCATAGGTTCTGGGCAGTGATACATCCACAGAGAATAGAAGATGCTGAAGTCATTCAAATGAGCTTTGCAAGGATATCTAAATTATGCCAAGAGCATTGCCAACCCTGGAGCAATTCAGAGTCAAAAGAGTTCAAAAATTATGTAAAACTGGTTTAGACCCATTTTCCCCAAGGCTGAATTCTGTGCAGTGCAAATTGGAGATGTGGTACAGTTTTCTGCTGCAATGCTTTGCAGTGTTCTGCATAAAAAGAAATAGGTTTCATCCTATTGAATATAGAAATTTTTACTGAAGCAGCTTAAAGTACAACATGTTTTTGGGGCTAACAGGTAACTTTCTGATAGAGATGTATTGTCCAGGAGTTTTAACTGTTCTGGGGGTGTGATTAGTGAAGTTCCATGGAGTTTTCCGCATGAGACATTTCAAGGAAAATGGAAAATCATTTTTGTCTAAATTAAAAAAAGAAGAGCCATAGCTTTGAAAACCACTGTTTCCTCAGAGCACTAACATCCTTTAATTTGGAAATGCTGCTGTAATGTCTTTATCAGCCTTTGTTTCAGGTTCTTTGTTCTGTCAGGTTAGACTTCATCTCTATTAATTCACATTTCATCTTCCCTGATAATCAGAAATTTAAATGCGCTGTTGGAAGTGCACTCTGTGACGCCACATCTCACTGGGGAGAGACTGACTCTATCCACAGTAATAAGATAGGTCCAATAGGTTTATTTCTCCCCCTTCCTATCCCTCTCCCCTAACACAACTATTATGTTGTGGTCTGAATAAGCTGGTATCCTCCTAGGACTGGTGAATCTTCAGCTGCCTACTTAGGGCAACTTCATGGCCGAAGGAGCCAAACATGGGGCCAGAGCCTGTCACATAGGGTAAGGACAGAAGCTACACATAAACAGGGCTAAGTGATCAGAAACTGGTTTAAACCTGTAACAGTACAGAAGTTCAGTGCACATAAACCAGTTTCAAAATGGCTGAAACTGGTTTACGATAAACCTGCTTGAATGTAGTATCAGACTTAAGTGATTTGGGTCAACCAGTTTATGAAACTTCTGTCCCAGACCCCTTCCTAGTTCAAGTTAAATCACAGTCCCTAAGCACCCCAGCATACTTTCCAGCCCAGCCCTGTCTGTTGGGGGGGTGCGGGACAGGGACAGCCCCACCAGGCAAACCCTGGCTGGGGTCTGGGGCCAGTTAGGGGGATTCTGGACTGCAAATCCCAGAGACCTCAGGGGCAGCAGGAAGAGGAAGCAAACACAGCCCATGCTGGCTATGTGCCAGAGAGCTGTGGTCTAGCATCCCCTGGTGCCTGGCCTAAGTTACTGCAGGCAGGTGGCTGCAAAAAGTAAATGTCTGTTCACTTGTTAGTCAGTTTAATCTGTGCAGTTGTTAAACTAACCTGCAAAGACTGAATCAATTCAGCCTTGGGCTTTTTTTAATGTTTGTACTTAGCCATAAAGCTCAGAGGGTAGTTACATGCATCTTTTTTTCTGTGCTCTCACAGTTCAAATGAATTACAGAATACGGTCTATACCATGGATGATTTTAGGAGATTTAACTGGAGGCCTTGGAAACCTTGCTTAAAGCCATTGCTTATAACTATAGAATAAAATGGAGAGAACCTCCCTCCCTGTCCCCTCCCCAACAGACCTATATTATAATTGCAATTGTAGAGAATGGTTTTTAGTGGTCATGACATTTGTACCCACTTGCATCCAGTTCAGAATCACAGAAATTCCACTTCCAGGAAAATGTCATTCATGTGGGGGCGGGGGAGTTAATTGTATTCACATAATTAAACTATGCACCTGATTATGGACTGGTGAATGTACCATTTCATTCTTTTTTCATCTTAACAAACTCTTTTTTGTCAGAATAATTGTGTAGCACATTTAATTGTATAGTACTTCCCTGTTTAGACTGGAATAGTAGGTGTTCCCAGTAACCCAGTGAGAGACTGTGACATCACTTTGTCTAAGTGGTGTAAAGACAATATAACCTGTAGCTATGTAGGACTCTTCTGTGTATAAACAGATGTTTTCATTTTACAATGGCTACTTGCCCTTCAATTTTTCAAGTGTTAAATTTTAGTCATACTTCTTGTATTTAATTCAAAGGTCCTATCCCGGCTGAAAAACCAATGATTATGTTTAATAAGCTCTGTGCCAAAAGGCTTAGGAAGTATGCTTTTTTCTTTGACACAGAAATACTGAATGGAGGAGTGTATGTTGGCCAGAACAAATTTCTTTGCTATGCGGACACTATTCATTGGCAAGACATTGTGCGTAACCCTTGGGCCTCCAACTTCACTTTGGTTCCAACAAATGGCAGCTCAGAATGTAAGTAATTATTTTATTTCTACTTTGCTGTTAGCACATTGCGCAATTATATGAATACAGTCCCAAGAATTCTGTGGACCCTGTTGTAGAAGACTAATTGCAAGTTCCCCATCCTTATGGTGAAGTCTTTAAAAATCCATTAACATAAAGAAAAAAAGAAAAAGAAACAAATAAAGAAAACAAAAAGTATCTCCAGTCCAATTTTTTTGCTCATCATATTTTTCCTTGCTTCCATTTCTTTCAAATGACACAGTTATGGAAACAGAAACTTTACTGTTAGGATTTCAGTTCTTCCTGTTTCTTATTTTCTGCCTTAAGTCAGTCCTTTGTGGCTTGGGACAGATATTCAAAAAGCCTGAATTGATTAATTCTTTGCAGGTTAGTTTAACCTGGCTAGGCTGAACTGGTTTTCAACCATACAGACGTTCTGTCTGGACTGAAGAAATTCAGGCACATGCCTGCAGTGGGTCAGGCTAGAAGCCAGGGGGCACTAGAGCAGCACTCCCTTCCCTCCCAGAGTTCTGAGCTGTGGGAGGCCCTGGCAGGATACTCTGATTGCGGAGCCCCCCCCTCCCCCTTGCTGCTTCTGACCAGGGAGTGAGCAAGCCAGGAGTTGGTAACACAGCATTTAGCACCCCACCAAGAAAACAAAATCCTCTCTCATTAGCTCAAGCTTTTCTTAAACTATTTTTTCCAAGCAGGGAATGGAGGGACATTACCAGCTATCTGTTGATTAGTTCCAAAACCCCTAAGTGGACACTGTCCTGTCTGCTTTTGTCCTGTCTGCCTTACACAGACACCTCTCAGCATTAGCTGGCATACCACATGCTGGCTACAGTCCATGCTGTGGGAGAGGTGAGTGGGGAGTCTCTGCTTGAGCAGAGTGGGAGGGAGAGGCAGGGGAGAGCCAGGCAGTTTCTGCCAGAACTCCAGCCAGGGGGCCAGCCAGAGGGGAAAAGCCAGCCCTGCTCTGAGGAGGACAGTCTAGCCCAGCCCAGCCTAACCCAGCCCAGGGCTGCAAAGCATCTGGGATGCTGGGAAAGTCTGGTTTAATTTAAACTAAGAAGGGGTTTGGGACAGACATTATATAAACTGGTTTGACCCCAATCATTTAAGTCTGATACTACATTCAACCAGGTTTATCTTAAATTTTTCCGCCATTTTCAAGCTGGTTTATGTGAACTGAATGTCTTTTCTGTTACAGGTTTAAACCAGTTTCTGATCACTTAAACTGGTTTATGTATAATGCCTGTCCCTAGCCTGTGGCATTGGTTAGTTTCTGCAATAATTGCCTAACTTTATCTAACTAACCCCAGGCACCCACTCCCCCTGATCCCAAGCTTCCACTGCACTGGTTGTGAGGAATGAAATGATCTAATGAATGATCCCACAACCATGCCTCCTGCCATGCATGGGTGGCATGGCAGGAAGTGCAATTGTGTGGATTGCCCATCAGATCCCATAATGCTTTTACCTGCTCATCTGGAGGGACCCTGACTGATAGACCTTTCAAAATAGAAAGAACTTGTGAGTAGTGCCCACTGCAGCAGAGAAACAAACTTTAATGGTGGGTAGTTGAAAAATTAAGCCACTTTAAAGAGGAGGGACAATCTACATACTCATGAGCATGCATTAGCTGATCTAGTCTACATGTTTTGTTTGTTGATTTCTAACAAAGGGAAACTAAACCACAGCAATGTACACCTAAATGAAATATGTGGTAACTTCCACAAGATAGGGTAGAAAATGAAATAGTTAAAGCAGATCCATGTTTAACTATGGTAAGTTTTCCTGCTATTCCCCCCAGTTATAGTTAATTTTTTGCAGCTGATCCACACAGTGTTGTAGATCTTTTGTTGTTGTGATTGTCTTTCACACTTTATCCGTCTCTCCTCCCTCTCCCCTGACAAATGCAAAAGCAGCATCAATGCAATTAGCATTTTCATAAGTGATAACACTGGTACTGTCACTAGTGTATGAAAGTGTTGTTATTGACTTAAGTAGATGCAAAGTTAGGCCGGTGTCTCAAGAGTTTTTGAAAATCCTACCCTAAATTAATTCAGCAATTATTATAATCCATATTAGGATATAAGATTGTGTGTTTATTGTGATGTTGCTATGTTGTAAGTATATGTTTTATTGTGTTATAAGGATTGTGTTTTTGTTATTGCCCTTATTAAGGCAAAGACCCTACTGCTCTGTTTTTTCATTTCTCTTTCCTCATTTTTTGATATTTCCTCATCTTTTTATATTTTTACACGGGAAAGGACCAACATGTGATGGTGGGACCAAAGTACTTTAATTACAAATATATCCTAAATAATGTTTATTTGCTGATGACATGTATTAGCTCTAATATATTACAATTCCATTAATACGTCCATTCAGAACATTTTAATGCATTTTTCTTTCTTTTAAGCAATGGAATTTTGCAGACACACAATTACCTATACAACAAATATAGTCCCAAATAAAATCCAGGGTTTGTATAAATATTTGATGTAACTAGGAAGTCCAGACTGTGTCAATAGCATATCTGGCATAAGTAGGAACCTAAATCCTATAAAAAGAAGCTAAGATGGTATTATAAAAGATATTGAATTTTGGAAGATAATTGTTTAAGTACTATTCAGACTCAACATACAGACATCTCCATTTTCATAGTTTCATAGTTTCATAGTTTCTAGGGTCGGAAGGGACCTGAGCAGATCATCTAGTCCGACCCCCTGCCATGGCAGGAAGAGCACTGGGGTCAAATGACCCCAGTAAGGTGGTCGTCCAACCTCCTCTTAAAATCCCCCAGGGTAGGAGCCTGCACCACCTCACTTGGAAGCTGGTTCCAGACTCTAGCCGCCCTGACCGTGAAGTAGCGCCTCCTGATGTCCAACTTAAACCTTCCCTCCGCCAGCTTGTGACCATTGTTCCTGGTCACTCCTTGCAGCGCTCGGGGGAACAGGGACTCCCCCAGCGCCTGCTGATCCCCCCAACCAGTTTATAACAGGCCACAAGATCCCCCCTCAGCCTTCTCTTTTGAATTCATTTTAAAATATCTGCAGTTAAATAATAATATATAAAAATAGTCTTCAAATGAAAGAGACTCAGAGAAATAGGAGAACCTTATTACCATCTGTCAAGAGTAAGGAATAAGCGAATATTTTACTGGTAGCTGAAAAAAAAGACTTCAGACAAGTTATTTGTGCTGATGCTGAAAGGCATTGGTAAAATGATTTTAATGTTGAATTACAACTTTCAAAAGGGAGGTTTATACAGAGGCCTGTGAAACTGGCATGTGTTCTTCACAGTCGATACAAATGTCACTCTCCAGGATGTACTGGATAACTAAGACTCTAGCTAGACCTCCCAGATCTTGCTTATCACAAGTGAATGGACAATGAGTTTGTTAGAAAGGTTTTGATTCTTTCTTACATATTACATTATACCCACAGAAGATAAGAGACGCCTCATCTGTTCTTAAAAGATTTTCACAGGTGTGGTCAATGATGACAGTACATATAAGTCCATGTAGGTATGATAGCTTCTCCCACAAAATGGACCATTGCTGAAGACAGTAGTAGTATTATAAATAGTATGGTTGCCTAACCAGTAGCCCATGAGCTGTTAATATTTGGCTCCAAGGTTCTCACTCAGCTGCCACTCCCCTCATTGCTCCAGCTGCAATAGCTCCTGGAGTTTCTAGTTCTCCTCCTCTGCCCTTCAGCTGCTGTCTCCTGCCTTTGCCGCAGGACGTGGGGTAGTGTGGAGAGCAGAGGATGAGTCCAGAGCCATACTGGGGGAAGGGGATGATAGCACCTGCACATTAGAGTGGGGGTTGAGAGGGACCACACGGTGTATAGGTGGGATAGGGGGAGTGTCCACAATGAGTACCTGATGTGACCAATACAGTGTGCAGCCTCCACGGCATGTGGCTCCTGGGGGTTTAGAAGTTGAACAATAGGGCTGTGAGAAACAGCAGCATTTCATTTCAACTTCTGTTTTAGCATTTTGAAGCGTCAGTGTTTCATTTCTCTGTTTTGAAGCACTGTTCTGTTTCATTTCATCGAAACTGTTTTGCTGTTTTGACACTGTTTCAATGTGTTTCAACATTTTGCCCATAGGCTATAATGGGAAATCATGAAAATGCCTATAACTTTGTCATTTCTTGCCTGATTGAGATGAAAATTGCAGGGATGGTAGGTCCTTCTGGGGGCATGTCTCCCACCAAGCTTCAAGGAGATAGGTGTGAGGGTTTCTGTGAAATTGCACCTCAAACTGTTCAAAGCAAAACTCCTATCACTTCCTGGCAGCAGCAGCATGCTGTCATCATTCACGTAGATCTGGGGGTCTGCTTCCCCTGGGAGGAGTCTGGCACAGCCCCATAGTCCTCCTGGGGGGTGCAGGCACCTGGATCTGAGTGTGAGATGACAGCAGGCTGCTGCTACCAGCCAGGGTGAGTGCCAGTACCAGGTTCTGCATGGTGCACAGCATGGGCTGTGCTGAGCAGATTCAGGTGCTGGTGCTGTCCCCAGCTGGCAGCAGCAGCATGCTATCATCTTCCTGTTCTGCAGCCAGTGTGCGGAGATTAAAAAATAAATTTAAAAAAGCCCACCCTGACAAAGCATTTTAGTGATTCCCCATTATAGCCTATGACAAAAACAGCATTGAAACTCCAAAACAGACTTGGCCAAATCAAAATAGAACAGTGATATGAAACACCGAAATAAATCACTGTTTCTCCAAAATGCCAAATCTGAAACTGAAATGAAACGTAGCCGTTTCGCATAGCACTACTGTTCATTACCACCGGGGTTGCCAACCCAAGAACTATTTTTTTTCTGACGATCTGCAGACTTTTTACTAAAAACCAAACTTTTTTTACTGACACATGCTTTTACTGATAGATGTTTTACATAATGTAAATCTAAGTCTTCTGCCAGGCCCTGCCTTACTGCCAGACCCCAGTTAGAAAGGCTGAGTTCAATTTAGGGGGTTAGCATCATCCT